CTTAAATCCAGAATCCAGCCCAGTCATATATCCTGCTGACTGAGGTGCTGTGTCTGCCTAGTGGAAAGGTACCTTTTTCTAATTAGAAAAAGGCACTGGAGAGGGTAGGGGTGGCTCTGTGTGTATTGACAGAGTGAACTTTTCATCTATGTTTGTTCTATATTTTCTTGAAATTATATGCTCCTTGAGGACTGAGGCTTTGATTTTTTGTAGATATTGAGCATGAAATACACATAACTTTGTTTTGACTTATAATGAGCACAGCGAGTTCTGAGTAAGAGATGGTACTGGAAGCTCCTTGAGGACCGAGCTTACCCATTTCTCTACCTGCCAATCCATCCCCCTTAAATTCCCTGAGTGCTTGCTTATCTGTAGTAACAGTGGGGAAACATCAATACCATTCTTTTTTAAAAATTCTTCAATGCCTATCTTGGTTTCTATGTGGAAGTGAGATAGTTTCCCCTCTGAGGACTCTGAGACTGGGTTTTAGATGAGGCTCTTGGGTCTGGGCCAGCATTTTCACCTCTTTCTAGAACAACATTGTACTGGGGCTTTGTGGTGGGTCAGAAAAGTGGGCCTGTAAAACTTACTGCTCACAAAAGGGTCAGGCCGTGCTCTGTGTGCTGAGGACATCAGGAGGAGAGCCATGTGTCTGTGTCCTCACGGAGTTCCTGGATCATAAGTGGGGAAAACAGACATGTAAGCGAGTGGCCATAAAACAATATATAAGAGGCACTATAGCAGCAAGAGCTCATACAGAGGCCTATGGGGTCACTGTGAGGCAGCAGAGACCTGTCTCCCTGCGTGGGGGCAGGTACAGGTGGAGTGACTGGAAAGAGGAGGTGGCTTTAAGTGTGATATAAAGAAATCTGGTTCATGTCCATATCTTCCATTGCAGTCTGTGTGCAGATGACTCTCAAAATGTGTGTCTCCATCCCAGACCCATCCGCCACTGTTATTTCCACTTGGGAGCTTTAAAGGCTCCCTAGACCCATTCTGTCCCAAACAGACCTCAGGATCTTTTCACCCAAATCCAATCATCTGCTGGTGCTCCATCTTTCCAGATGGCACCACCCATCCATCTACTTTGGTAAACTGACTTGGTCAGTTCATTTGCTCCGTTCTCAGCTCCCAGTCCAAGTTGGCATCCGTGTGTCTTGCCTGGACTGGAGGCAATACCTACCTCCTCAATGGACCTCCCACATCCACCCTGAGCCCTCCAGCCCCTTCTCACTGCAGCTGGAATCTGCTCATGTCACATGGTCCCCAAACTACCTCCCTCCCAATGCTTAAAACCTCTTAATGCCTTCTAATTTCTCTTAGGATAAAGACTCAAATCCTCAGCAGGGCATCTAAGGCCTCTCATCATCTGGCCCCTGGAGACCTTCCCAGTGCCCCCAGCCCTGTCCCGAGTGGCAGCAGTCTGCTCACAGGCCCCCAGCCCAGGCAGCCCCTCAGCCTGGAAAGCTTTCTCCTATTGCTGCCACTCTCCCCTCCCACCCCCGTTACCTAATTCATCCTTTCTCATTTTTCAGGTGTAAGCTCAAATATCACTTCTTCAGGGAAACCTCCCTGGATCCCCCTGACTGCTTCAGCCCTTCTGCCTGGTACATCTCAGAGCACATTTCCTTATCAATTATCACGGTTTGTAGTCACACATTTATTTTTGTGGTTATCTGACTGATGTCTGTTTTCCCTGGAAGGTTGGGAGCTCCAGGATCCTGGCAGGGTTTGCCTTTGCTACATTTCCAGTGCCCAGTGCAGGGCTCCATGCACCTTAGACTCTCAAGTAAACATGCATTGAATGAATAGATACATGAGGGTTGTTTAGGAACAGAGAGCCACTCCTTGGGGCTGCCATGTTGGTTATGTGAGAGGAAGCAGGTAGAGGTGAGGTTGGGAACAAGCCTGTGGCTGAGATGGTGCCCTCTGGGTACAGGGGCACTGTGCAGCCTGCAACCCAGGACATGACTGGCCAAGAGCTGTGTTTTAGAGCAGAAGCTCTGAGAGGCGTGTGGGGTGGAGGTGTGGAGGGTAACGCGTCTTGGGACCAGGGAGACACATTAGGAGGCATCTGATGCAGATGATGGGAATCAGGACAGTGAATGAGAATGGAGAAATGGGAACAAATGCATTTAAGTATTCTCTATTTCCATTTTCCCCCTCCTGGAAGGGCAGCAAGGGATCAAGGAACTTTACATTATTTTAACATTTTTAACCTGCCTGACTTGAACCTCACCAATGGGCAGAGGAAAAATCAGAGGGGATTTGGAGTCAGTGGAGTAGTGGGCAGTTGGAGAGTCACAAATCTGTGGTTTTTTTCCTTTCTCAGGCAAAAGTGGCCTGTGGAAGGTTGGGAGGTATCTGAGTCCATTTGGGCTGCTATAACTAAGTATCTTGGACCGAGTGACTTATGAATGGCAGACACCTATTTCTCACGGTTCTGGAGGCTGGGAAGTCTGAGAGCATGATCAGGTTCTGGTGAGGGCTTCTCTGGGTTGCAAGCAGTTGACTCTCATTGTATCCTCACCTGGCAGAAAGAGAGCAAGCTAGCTCTCTGACCCCTTCTTCGAAGGGCATTAATCTCATTCATGAAGGCTCCACCCTCATGACCTGAATACCTCCCAAAGAGGTCCTGCCTCCAAACACCATCACATTGGGGGTTAGATTTCAGCATATAAATTTGGAGGGGACACAGACATTCAGTGCATAACAGTAGGAGAGGGTGCTTTCAGGACATGCTGCCCTGACCTGATGGTGAGTTGGTGTGTGAGAGGCTGTGACATCCAAGGAAATTCCTCTTGGGTTGGACATTTCTGGTCCTCCTAACCTGATCTGAGATGTCCATCATGGTGGCTGGTCTTCCCTGAGATCCCCTGAGTGTCTCAGAATATTTCGAGAGGCTGATAGTACCAAGGGCAAAGTGGGCTTGGGACCAGGGAGATACATTGTGCATAAGGACGAATATTTGCCTCACCCTAGGTTTGGAGCCACACCTATTTTCCTATTCTTTTTAATGCTTCCTATAGTCTGAATGACAAAGATAACACTAGGGTAATATAATCGTTGAATTGGACAGAATGTAAAACTTGATGCTACTAAATTTCAGCTTTTCAAGGATATGTGTTTTATATATCTAGCACCCTCTTCTAGAATGTGACCGATATAATAATACTGCTGTGTTAATAGTGTTCATGGCTCATGTAGCTTATGTCGTTTGACATTTTAACTACAAGTCGAGCTGCTACATTTGGCTGTGCAAGTTGCGAATTGCCTAGGTCTGGTGAGCTCAGTTCATGTAGACTCCTGTGGGCATGGCACCCCCCAGAGTTGTGCAAGGTGGCAACCCTGCCCATGGAGTGTGCAAGGTGGGCATTAGCCTTATTTTGCTGGCTTAGAATAGCAAATGACTTATTCAGTGTCATATGACAATTAAATACTGGCACTGCTGCTAGGGCCCAGCTTTAGGATCCAAGTCTAGTTTTTTGTTTGTTTGTTTGTCTGTCTGTGTTTCTAGAGACAGGGTCTTTCTCTGTCACTCAGGCTAGAGTGCAATGGCATGATCATAGCTCGCTGCAGCATCAACCTCCTGGGCTCAAGCCATCTTCCAACCTCACAGCCACCTGGGTAGCTGTGACTATGGGTACCCACCCCAAACCCCGGTAATTTTCATTTATTTAATTCTTGTGTAGACGAGGTCTTATTATGTTGCCCAAGTTGGTTTTGAACTCATGGTCTCAAGTGATCCTCCCACCTTGGCTTCCCATAGTGCTGGGCTTTCAAGTGTGAACCACCACACTTGGCCCTAAAAGCAGTCTTAATTTTTCTGTACCTCTTTGCCTCCTGGCTGATGGGTGAGTGAGTACCTGAGTGAATAGGGTAAAGATGAAGCCTCATTTCAGGAGTGAGATATACACACATGATATGATTTATTTTGTAGGCCCCTGAGCTCCACTGGTAGAACCAGCTCCCCTAATCTGCAGCCCTTTACCCAGACCTTACCCATTCTCAGATGACATGGCCTTGGGTGTCTCTGCACCTCCCTTCCTGAACCCCTTGCATCTTCCTGGTTACTCCTCCTTTGCCTGTCCTGTTCCCTCAGGTCCTCGCTTCCAGCTACTAACAGGTTTTCCTCTCCCACAAAGTGTGCATTAATAAAGTAGAAAATTATAATTTCAATAGGGAGGTATGAAAGATAAAACCGCCTTTACAACACAAAGGCATTAGTCTATAAGGGTGGAATTCCTGGCTGGGTTGGAGAGTCATGAATCTATGAATTTATGTGGGAGAGCAGGAAAGAACCATGCAAATCACATAATGCAGATGACGAAATAGAGGTCCCAGAGAGTTAGTGGGACTGCTGGGTGCTAGAATCCACAGTTTTTCCATTATATTAGGTTAGGGCAAAAGTAATTGTGGTTTTTGCTAATACTTTTAATGGCAAAAACCACAATTACTTTTGCACCAACCTAATATCATATTTTCTTGATCCATTTTAAGTTGGGATCTTCCCTGACATTTTTTTCATCTTACCTGGCTGAGCATAGCCCTGCATTTTGACCATGTATGAAGGGGGAGAGGCAGTTTGGCCAACAGTGTCCTGGACTCTGGCGTGACCCGGGATCCATACTTTTAAATGCCATTATGAAATGCAGTCCAGTAGAGAGCTCAGCCTCTTCCCATCAGACTAATGCAGCTGCGGTGGAGAGGCGGGGTAGTGGCTGGCTGCCTGGCAATCACCTGGAGCCCAGCAGAGGGATTACGCCCGCCCAGGCAGCCTCATCACCGTAATAAAATGGGAGTTATGCTTATCGACTCATCAGGATGCCCATTTAGACGATTACCCCATTTCCAATCCCATTTCTAGAGAAAAGAGGATTGCTGGACACTTCCTCCCACCCCCACCCCTGGCAGGGCTGTGTTTAGCGGTGGCTTCTGGAGGGGACGTGCTGGAGACAGGCACTCAGCAGACTGAGAGTTTTACCCTCTTTGTCTTCCAGAGCTGACAAGCCATAGCAGGACGGCCATCCCCTGAGAGATAGGAGAGGAGGAGAAACAGCCCGACAGGGGCCTGGAGCAGCTGGCTGGCGTCAGTAATTTCCTGCAGGAGACTCTGCCGGCCGAGCACACGTCACCCTTCTGTTGATCCTCTGTATTCTCCCTTGTGCTACTAAAATACGCTAATGTAACTCCTGGGCTGTGCTGAGCTAAATGCAGTTATTTAACTTCATCGCTATGGAACCCAGGTCTAAAGCAGCAACATCTATTTGGAACAAGGTGGGGAGGAGGTAAGCCCCAAACATCCCTGAGCAGCAGGAATACACATTACAAAGTTTCTCTTTCCACACGGAAGAGTCTTCTGGGCCCTTGCTTGAGACCCCTGACTTTTACTTAACACATAGGTCTAGTTTGCTTGGTGAACTGCTTTCTGACACCTGAACAGACTGGAAGCAGGGAACTGAAGGTGAGAAAAGACTGCCACAAACAGGAGCCAAGAGCTAAGAGCCAAGCCAGGGAGGTGACATTCATGGTGACAACTGTGGATGGGAATCCTGCCCTAAGTGGGATATTGGATGAATGAATGGCTCCTAAGGCCCCTTCCAACATTTCAGTTCATGGCTCTGAGTATCCTTGGTTTGACTGTGATGGTGAAGGCAGAGAAGAGGGAGAGGGAGACCTCCGCGGAGAGCTGGTGGCCAGCAGGAAGTGTGGCCCTGTGTTTTAGTACTCAGGAGTACTTGCCTGCTTTTACTGGAGTCCTCCAGGCTCAATATGTGCTCTTGACCCCCGACTTCATTTTTTTTTTTGGCCAACAAGGGCGAATTTATGCTCTTCTTCATGGAGGTGGATGTTTCTGGAAGAAGTTTTGTGATGTCCTTTGCAGGGACATAGATGGATTTGGAAGCCCTTATCCTCAGCAAACTAATGCAGGAACAGAAAACCAAACACTGCATGTTCTTACTTATACGTGGGAGCTGAACGATGAGAGCACTTGGACACATACAGGAAAATGACACACACTGGGGCGTGTCGGGGCCGAGGGGTGGTGGGGAGAGGGAGAGAAGCAGGAAGAATGGCTAAGGATGCTGTGCTTAATATCTAGGTGATAGGATGATCTGTGCAGCAAACCACCGTGGCACACATTTACCTATGTAACAAACCTGGATATCCTGCAAGTGTATCCCGAACTTAAAAGTTGAAAAAAAAAAAGAAAAGAAAAGTTTTGTGAAGTCTGGAGGTGTAATGGGACAGACACGGGCCTAGGGTGACGCAGGCCCATGTTCAGATCCTTGCTTCCCCACTGAGCTAGTGGGGAGACTGGCTAAATCACCGAGCCTCAGTTTCCTCACCTGTACATCTGCTGTAGAAGTGGCACATCATGTGCCGTCCTGGCTGTGACCTTCGGTAGCTCATCACTGCCCTTCTTACTGTTCTCAGGGTAAACCCCTTTCAAGGCAGAGTTGCCAAGACACCCAGTAAAATTTGAATTTCAGATAAACACTGAATAATTTTTTAGTATAATGATGCTTCAAATACTGCATGGGATATACTTAACACTAAAAAAAAATCATTGTTTATCTGAAATTCAGATTTAACTGGGCAACCTGCATTTTTAAATAAACTTTTAATTTTAGAATCATTTTAGATTTACAGAAAAAAATATAAAGATAGTACAGAGTTACCACACACCCCGCACCCGGTTTCCCCTATAACTAATATCTTACGTCAAGTTGGTACAGTGGCGCACGTTTGTAATCCTAGCTGCTCAGGAGGCTGAGGTGGGAGGATCACTTGAGCCCAGGAATTCGAGGCTGCAGTGAGCCATGATTGTGCCATTGCACTCCAGCCTGAGTCACAGAGTAAGACGCCATCTCTAAAAAAAAAAAAAAAAGCTTATGCCAGTATGATACATTTGTCACAATTAATGAACTAAGATTTATATATTATCTTTAACTAAAGTCCATACTTCATTAGATTTCCTTAGTTTTCCCCCAATGTCCTTTTCTATTCCAGGATCCTGTCCAGGACACCATATCACATTTAGTTGTCAAGTCTCCTTAGTTCCTCTTGGCTGTGACAGTTTTTAAGACTTCTCTTGTTTTTGATGACCTTGACCGTTCTGAGGAGCACTGGTCTTGGGTTTTGTAGAATGCCCCTCACTTCAGCCTGTCGGATGTTTTTCTCGTGATTAGGCTGGGGTATTGTTTTTTTGGGAGGAAGACCATAGAGGTCAAGAGCCATTCTCAGCACATCTCATTAAGGGTCTGTACTGTCCATATGACTTACCACTGTCGATGCAGACCTTGATCACCTGGCTAAGGTAGTGTTCATCAGGTTTAGCAATTGTATTTTCATTTGCTAAATCTGTAACTCGATTCCAGGCCTGTCAGTCTTTCATGCTCAGACCTTTGCTTACTGCTGCAGCCATTTTTCTGCTCCAACCATAGTGAACTGCTAATAATTCCTCTAATGAACTACTCTCTGTCTCTCTTACTGCCAGGCCTTAGGGCTTGCTCTTTCCTTCGCCTGAAATGTTCCACTCCCCCCACAACCTCCCATCCACACCTCCCCTTCACCAGATTAACTTACTTTTCAGTTGGGCTTCAGTGTTCTGCTTAGGTCTCACTCCTTCCGGGAAGATTTCTTGCACCTTCCTCTGCCGAGACCAGATTAGGTGTTGCCTCTCTGCCCTGGTCCTACTCTGTTGTGATATTTACCACCCTGTGGTTGTGATCTGTTTGCTTGTCTCCCTGACCCCAGTGCATCCCTGACATCTTACGCAGTTTCTTGTTGCAACTCAATAAATAATTGCTGAATAAATGAATGGTTATACCAGGCACTTCAGGTAAGGCCTTTAATACACTACCTGCCTTGTAAACAGTGGATGCTCAGTAAATGCTTGTCTTTTTCAATGTAGGAAAAATAATCTTCCCTGGATCTGAGCAACTGTATTAAGTTTGTGCTTGTCTGACACCTGCAACACATGCCCCTACCTGGAGAAGAGAGTCTGGAACAATTGGTCTCCTAGGATTCCCTGGAAGTCACAGTTACCTGCATCAAAGTATCAAGGAGGCCACTTAATGACAGAAATGTTAGGGTAAGTAGGCTACTTTCCATCAATTTGCAGATTAAAAGCGCATCTTTCTCCCAGTGGAGAAACTGAATTATGAACCCCTTCGCCAAGATTTCCATAGTTGGGCGCCCTGACCCATTGTTTTTTAGTGAAAGAGACAAAGGGACCCACCTCCTTCTCTTTTTGCTGACCACATGCCACACACATGTAAAGGACATGTGTACCTATTGTTCCTTGTCCTTGATGATGAGTACACTTGTACATTGATGTATTTATTAGTGTTTTGCTTTTCACTAATCCGGCATAGTTGTGACCCCACCCCTGAGACCTAAAGGAAGGAGACACCTCACAGGGGGTCTCAGGAATCTCTGATGAACCTTAGGACTAATTATAATGTCTTTCATTTATTATTACTTTATGCCAGCTATTTTATCTACCTCACCTCTAATCATCTCAATGACCTTGCACGTTAAGAATTATTCATCCCATATTACAAATGAGAAACCTAAGGTGTGGGTGCTTAAGAAATTTTCCCAAAGTTTTTTTGTGGTGGAGCCAGCTTGGAGCTAGGGCAATTGACTTCAGAGTCTCAGCTCCATCCTCTCCATGGTTTAGAAGGTTCTATAAGAGACAACCAGCATCCCCCAAGGGCTTGTGCTCATTGGAATGGATCTCAGGTCCACTCCTTCCTTTGTATCCCCAGGTCACCTCACTAGAGCAGACCTCCATCAGTCGGTGTTTACCCACCTTCCAGAGCCTCCTTCCTGGACTCTTGCCCTCGGATTCCCCACCCATAGAACTCTCACACTGCCATCGCCCAACTCAGGATCCCCCCAAGAATGCCCATTTTCAGCCTTATAAATCCTTTACCTTGCTTTACCTTATAAATAAGGTAAATCCTTTACCTTTACCTTATAAATAAGGTAAATCCTTTACCTTTACCTTATAAATCCTTTACCTTACCAAGACCCTATAGTCTATTTATTTTCCAAACCTTCTCTCCAAGCATCAGATTCCTCATGAAACTTACACTGACTAGTCCGCCACCCACCTCCCTCTCCTTGGATCTTCATGGCACCTAGGTATGCAAAGCATAAAGTAATGTAGAATGCCCTTCTGGCTTATGTGGAACCACAGGGGAGTCCCCTGCGTTTCTAATATGGCTTCCCCATCTGGAATGACACCTCCTGAAGGACAAAAACCTCTTGTTAAAAGAGTCAACTTTATTGAGGTATAACATACATACACCAAAATGCGCCTGTTTTTTTAAGTGTTCATTTTGGTAAGGTTTGACAGATGTATACACCCATGTAACCACCATCACAACCAAGATATAGAACATTTCTATCACCCCAGAAATACCTCTGAGCCCCTTTGTAGTAAATTCTTCCACCCCCCGACCCAGGCAGCCGCTTGCTGGATTTCTATTCATATAGATGAGTTTTGCCTGCCCTTGAACTCCACAAAAGTGCAGTCATAAAGGTTGTAGTCTTTTGTGTCAGTCTATTTTGGTTAGCATGATGTTTTAAAGATTCCTCCTTACTGTTTATTATTTTTTTGTTGCTGAGTGGTATTCTATGATAGAGACTATACTACAACTTGATTGTCCATGTTGACTAAATTTGGGGCTGTTTCACATTTTTGGCTATTGTGAATAAAGTAGCTATGAATGTTTACACACAAGCCTTTTGTGAATGTGTTTTCATTTCTCTTATTTGCATACCTCCGAGTGAAACTTTTAGGTCATATAGTAAATATAAGATGTTCAACTTTGACACTGCCAAACTGTTTTCCAAAGTGATGATTCCATTTCACACCCCTATCAGCAGTGTATGAAAGTTCCAGTTGTTTCGCATCCTCACCAACTCTCAATGCTGTCAGTGTTTTAAATTTTAGTGGGTATGTAGTCACATCTCATTATGGTTTTACTTTGCATTTCCCTGATGATGTGCTCACTGGACACTTGTGTATTTTCTTTTCGAAATGTCTGCTGAAAAATTTATCTTTAAAATTTTCAATTTGTCTTTTTAATTATTGCATTATGAGTTCTTTTTATATTTGTATATAAGTCCTACCAGATATATGTATGAGTATTTTCTTCTGGACTGTGGATTGTCTTTTTGCTTTCTTAGTGTCTTTTCACTTGTCTTTTGAAGACAAGAAGTTTTAAATTTTGATGCAATTCAATTTATCAATTTTAATCAATTTTTTTCTTTATGGTTAGTATATTTTCTGTCCTGTCTATGAAATCTTTATCTGCCCCCTGTAATCCCAACACTTTGGGAGGCTGAGGCAAGCGGATCAAGAGGTCAGGAGTTCGATACCAGTCTGACCAACATGGTGAAACCCTGTCTCTACTAAAAATACAAAAATTAGGCGGGCATGGTGGCATGCGCCTGTAATCCCAAGTACTCAGGAGGCTGAGTCAGGAGAATCACTTGAACCCGGGAGGCAGAGGTTGCATTGAGCCAAGATTGCACCATTGCACTCCAGCCTGGGTGACAGACTGAGACTCCATCTCAAAAAAAGAGAAATGTTTCCCTTTATCTCTGATGATATTCCTTGCCTTGAAGTCTATTTTGATATGAATATAGCTCTTCCAGCTATAGTGTGTGCATGGTGTATCATTTCCCTATACTTTTACCTTTAAACTATGTTTGTATATATAATGTTAATTTCTTGAGTAATATAGCTGGGTCTTACTTTTTTGTCCAGTTTGACAATTTCTGCATTATAATTTCTTCATTTAGTCCACTTACCTGTAATGCAATTATTGAAATGGTTGGCTTTAAGTCTACTAACTTGCTATTTGTTTCATTTATTTTTTGTTCTTTTCCTGTCTTTTCTTGAATGATAATAATTGAATGTTTTTTGTATTCCATTTTATTTTACTATTTTTCATTTTATTATTAATACATTTTATTGTTTATATTACTATTATTTCATTTTATTTCTTCTTTTTCTGTGTGTGTTTATTCTAGGGATTGCAATATGTGTCTTTAACTACCAAAGTATATCTCCAAAAACTATGCTACTTTACATATTAGACCCTTAAAACAGTATGCTTCCATTTCTCCTGCCATGCTGTGTGCTATTATTGTTACATATTTAATTTCTACATATGTTATAAATCCCACAATACATTGTTATTATCTTTGCTTTAGACAATGATCACTTAAAGGAATTTTTTTTTGTTGTTTTTTGAGACGGAGTCTTGCTCTGTCGCCCAGGCTGGAGTGCAGTGGCCGGATCTCAGCTCACTGCAAGCTCCGCCTCCCGGGTTCAAGCCATTCTCCTGCCTCAGCCTCCTGAGTAGCTGGGACTATAGGCGCCCGCCACCTCACCTGGCTAGTTTTTTGTATTTTTTAGTAGAGACGGGGTTTCACCGTGTTAGCCAGGATGGTCTCGATCTCCTGACCTCGTGATCCACCCGTCTTGGCCTCCCGAAGTGCAGGGATTACAGGCTTGAGCCACCGCGCCCGGCCGGAATTTTTTAAATGAGACACAAAACGTCATTGTGGCCCTCCAGTTAGAGTAGGGGATTATGTGGGCTAGGTTAATCAATGGAGTTTCAGCTCAGTTCCAATTTACAGTGGGTCCAGTAGGTCCCTGGACCTATCCTGTAGGTATTTTCCCAGTTCTAGAATGCATAATTAGAATAGGCATAATTGGAATAGACATGGCTGGCAGAATTTCCACATTGGTCCCCCAACCTGTGGGAGTGAAGGATATTATGGTGGGAAAAGCCAAATGGAAGCCATTAGAGCTGCCTCTACCTAGGAAAATAGTAAATCAAAAACAATATCACATCCTTGGAGAGTTTACAGATATTAGTGCCACCATCAAGGACTTGAAAAATGCAGGGGTGGTGACTCTCATCACATCCCCATTCAAGTGTCCTATTTGGCCTGTGCAGAAGACAGATGGATCTTGGAGAATGACAGTGGATTATTGTAAGCTTAATAAAGTGGTGATTTCAATTGCAGCTGCTGTACCAGATGTAGCTTCCTTACTTAAGCAAATTAACACATATCCTGGTACCTGGTATGCAACTATTGATCTAGCATATGGCTTTTTCTCCATACCTGTCCATAAGGCCCACCAGAAGCAGTTTGCCCTCAGCTGACAAGGTTAGTAATACACCTTCACTGTCCTACCTCATGGGTATGTCAACTCTCCAGCTGTATGTCATAATCTAGCTCCCACGGATCTTGATTGCTTTTACCTTCCACAAGCTGTCACACTGGTCCATTACGTTGATGACATTAAGCTGACTGGACCTAGTGAATGAGAAGTAGCAACCACTGTGGACTTATTGGTAAAATATTTGCATAACAGAGGGTGGGAAATAAATCCAAATAAAATTCAGGTGTCTTCTACTTCAGTGAAGTTCTGGGGGTATAGTGATGTGGGGCTGTCGGGATATCCCTTCTAAGGTGAAGGATAAGTTGTATCTGGTCCTCCCTACAACCAGGAAATAGTCACAACACCTAGTGGGCCTATTTGGATTGTGGAGGCAACACATTCCTCATTTGGATGTGCTGCTCTGGTCCCTTGATGAGGTGACTGAAAAGCTACTAGTTTTAAGTGGGGCCCAGAACGGGGGAAGGCTCTGCAACAGATCCAGGCTGCTGCACAAGCTGCTCTGGTTCTTGGACCACATGATCCAGCAGATTCCATGGTGCTTGAGGTGTCAGTGGCAGATAGGAATGCTGTCTGGAGCATTGGCAGGTCCCTATAGGTGAATCACAAAGGAGGCCTTGAGGGTTTGGAGCGAGGTCCTGCTTGCATCTGCAGATGACTACCTTTTTTTTTTTTTTTTTTGAGATGGAGTTTCTCTCTTGTTGCCCAGGCTGGAGTGCAGTGGCACAATGTCAGCTCACCGCTCACCACAACCTCCGTCTCTTGGGTTCAAACGATTCCCCTGCTTCAGCCTCCTGAGTAGCTGGGATTACAGGCATTTGCCACCATGCCCAGCTAATTTTGTATTTTTAGTAGAGATGGAGTTTCTCCATGTTGGTCAG